TCTACAAGAGACAGGGGCCTCCCTGGTGGCTCAAGGGTTAAGCCACTGCAGCATGAGTTTGATTCCCAGCCAGGGATCTGACCCACATGGCAAGCAGACCTCTCCTGACTCGCCCGCTGCTCCCCTCAGCAGTGTATTTCAGTCAGTCTGCCTGTTCTGTTCTCCACTCTGTCTCTGGTGAATCCTCTCACCCACCCTCCTGCACCTCTGGCTTACACTACAGCTTTTTTTTTTAAGATTTATTTATGTATTTATACAAGCACTGGATACAGCCAGAAGCGCTGGAGGGTGAGAGAATTCACCAGAGCCAGAGCGGGGAGCAGAGCAGGCAGAAGGACCGAAGTACACTGCTGAGGGGAGCAGTGGGCAGCAGGAGAGGTCTGTGCGCCATGTGGGACACTCACGGGTGGTCAGGGATCCAACCGGTGCTGCAGAAGCTGCGGGCAGCTTCGCAGCCCAGCGCTCAACCGCTGCACCACTGGGAGGCCCTACACCACAGCTCTTGTATGCATAAATAAATAAATCTTAAAAAAATAAAAGAGTGGGGAGCTCTGGGAGTGTGCAAGCACAGAGGAGGCTGCTGGTCTCCCTCCGCGGGGCTTCAGGGAGGACTTCGTGGAGGTAGAGATGACTGAGCTATAAGAGATGCAGGGGGTGGTCAGGTAAAGGGGGGGTTCAAGACAGTGCTTTAGGCAGAGGGAACAGCCTGAGCCTGAGCAAAGGTGTACAAATGCCTGTCTTGTTTGCTGCTCTCTGCAGCAGGCACAGTTTCTGGCTCAGTGAAGAGTTAACACATCAGTGAACATGGAGATGTTTACAGTGAACATCTCTAGTGTACAGATGGGGAAAATGAGACATAAGAAGCACACCTGGAGCTCTGGCCTGCCTGGACGAGGCCCACCCTGCCTCCTCAAGTGTCCAACAGGAGCCCCCTACATGGGTGTCCCTCCAAAGTCCAGGCCTGTGCTGAGGGGCCACAGCCCAATGCCTCTCCAGCCACATGAAAAGCTTGGGATATTTTTTGCCCAGAGGGCAGGCCCAGTGTCCTCAGGGGCTGTGTAATTAGAAGTGGCTCTGAGCCCACTAGAGACTGGAGCTGGGGGCTGTGGTGGGCCCGGCGGCCCGCCCTGGGCTCAGCCTGGAAGCGCCCTGGCAGAGACTGGAGGTGGGGAGGTTTTTCCTCATCCTCCCGCCTCCTTGGGCAGGGCTGTTCAACAGGGCGGGGGTCACAGCTGCTAATTGCACGGTGGGCACAGGGCGAGGTCCCTGAATCACTCTGAGGCTGGGCAGAGGGCCTGGGTGCTGCTCTCTGCCTCTGAAATTACAAGTTGCTAGTGGGCAGCCCAGCCTGCTCCTTACCACAGGTCTGCTTGAGCCCCTCAGAGTGTGGTGGTGTGGTCCACGGGGCTCCCTGGAGCCGGGCCCAACAGCAGGTTCTAGAAATGGAGGATGCAGAATGCGAGCCCCTCTGGTGGATGAGGAGCGAGGAGCAGTAGCTCACCAAGACCTGAGAATGCAAGAGTGGAAGTCAGAAAGGTCAGTCACAGCTGAAGAAGCATTTATTGAACACCTACTGTGTTCCAGGCTCTGTCCTAGATGCTGGAGTTACGGCAGTACACAGACAGGCAAAGTTCCTGGTTCCCACAGACCTCGTTCATCTACTCTTACTTGATAATAATTTCAGGATCTACCGGAAGGTGCCAGGTTCCCATCAACCTCAGGACCTTTGCACGTACCCTTCTCACTGCTGGGAATCCTCTTGCATCCTTGCCTTCCTAAGTCCCCTCTCTTCATCTTCACCAGCAACTCTATCATCACCTCCTCATGGAGGTCCCCATGAGCTCTGGGACCAGAATGGCCCCCCTGACAATTGTTCCGACAGCCTCTGAGCTGCCCATCCCAACTCTGAGCTCCATTTGCAATTACATAGTCATTTGTTTGTTAAGGCAGGTCTCCCGTTTGCTCGGCAAGCTCTGCGCCTATTTGCTTATCATTGTCTCCCAGGGCCTGACTACTGGGCTGGGTGTAAAGTAAATGCTCAAGAAAGACCTGTAGGATGAATGACATTCAGAATGTGAGAGTGTTGGAACCTGAGGACTGGCAGGCTTGAGCCAAGCACGGCCCACCCGCATTTAGCTGTAGCTGAGAGAGGGGCAGTCATCTGCCCAGTCACCCACAGCTGAGGCTTGTGCTGGGCCTGGAAGTCAGGGAGTCTTTATATTCCCATCAGTGACCTCATTTTTGCTGCCTGGTCCCCAGATTGTGGGCTGGGATATTTGCTTAAGGAAAGCATGTGTGTGTGTGTGTGTGTGTGTGTGTGTGTGTGTGATAGTCTGACAGTCATTTAACAGGGCAGATGGCAGATGGCCTGCCTGTGGGGAGTGGGCCCCTTGCAGGGGAGCACCCAAGGCCTGGAAGTCTCATGTCCAGGTCAGACACGGGGTTGATGCAGAAGAACATCAGCACTGACTCCCCACCTGTTCACACTGCCGTGAACCTCAGTTTCCACATCTGTTAAATGGGCTCATTCCTCTGCCTCTCCCAAGTGCTTCTGGCGTCTGCTGGGTGTGAGGCACAGAGGTGGGCTCTATGGGAGGGCAGCCCAAGGCTCTCGCTGTGGGAGGTTCCAGCTCCCCAGGGAACAGGTTGCTCCTTGTCCCTAACCATTTGGTTAATGAGCTGGTCCCTGAGCCACAGAGCCCACGGGACTAGGCTGTGTCACCAGCCTACGTGGTGCACCCTGTGACAGCCCCACACGATGGGGCCATCTAGCGGCACGTGTCTCAGAAAGTGTCCCCATCGGTCACCGGCGAGGGGCCGCCGTGAGTCCCGCCACTGTGGAGGACAGGAAGACGCCCCTTCCCCAACACGCCCTAATCCCGAGACCTGTGACTGTGAAGAGGTCACCTGATGTGACAAAGGGGCTCTGCAGGCATGATTAAGCTATAGAGTTTAGATTCCCAGATGGCCAGGGTGGGCCCAGTGTCATCACCGGGGTCCTTAAAGCGAAAGGGATCAGGAGAGAACCAGAGGGATGGCAGTGTGAGAAGGGGTCCCCCTGATTTCCTGCCCCCCCAGACTCTGGGATGAAGGCAGCTCTGCTGGCAGCTTGACGTCAGCTCCCCGAGACCCGTCTCTGGCTTCTGCTGCCAGGACTGTAAGACGAGCCATGTGTGTTGTTTTCAGCCACTAAGTCTGCTGCAATTTGTTACAGCAGCAAGAGGAAACTCATCCACTTGGCATCTGGCAGATGCATTTCTAATCCAGCCCGGCCCGCCCGCCTGCCCCTCTGGTCTTTCCCAGCAGCCATGTGAGCAGTAGAGATCTCTGTTCTCATCGCACAGAGGACAGAGCAGTCCCGGCAGGGCACCGACTGGGCTCTGATCTAGGGGGCCTTGTGGGGTTTGCTCTGCCCCCAAAAGAAGAAACACAGACTGGATCCCGCCCCTCCCCCCAAAGTGCTGGGGCCTCTGGGCTCCACGTGCAGGACACAGGTTCCATGTGGGTTGACTGTGCCCCTGGATTCCCTGCAGCCCTCAGATCAATGGGAAGTGGGCGCAGGGGGAGGTCTGGCTGCCCCTGCCCACCTGCTGTCTGCCCCCGACATGCCCTGGTCAGCTGCTGCAACATGTCGTGGGAGGCCATGTGGACTTGGGGGGGGAGGGTGTGTGTGCATGAGTGTATGAGTGTGTATGCGTGAGTGTGTGTATGTCTCCTAGGGAACAGTTCCCTGCCCCCCCTCTAGGATGCAGGGTTTGGGGTGATCTCAAAAGTTGATTTTATTTTCCAAACAAAAACTGTCTCCTTTAGAGGTAAGTAGGGCCTGCCAGGACCATCGAAAGGGGCAGTCACCCATAGTCCTGGTTCCTAGAGATGGGTGGGCACTGCCGATGATCGACACCTCCCAAACCTTCAGTGGCGTGCTCCCACACCTGTGACTTCTCCAAGTCTGTAACTGCTTGTCCCTTCATGCTCCAGAGGGTCTCATCAGAGGCCCTCGCCCACCTGTGGCACTCCAGCCACAGGCCTTTCTCGGGGCTGTCCTCTCCTGGAGTGCCTCTCCTGGGTCTCTTGTTCACACCTGCTCCTTCACAGCCACGGCCTCCAGGAGGGTTCTCTCCCTATTCCCATCCTAGGGTTCCCTTCTCCCGGGAAGTCTGCGCAAACTGAGCCCTGGACTGTATCTGATTTACCCCTGAAACCTTCTTGGCACAGGACCTGGCCCACTCCAGGTGTTCATTACTCACTTGCTGAATGAATGAATGAATGAATGAATGAATGCAAGGGGTTACGGACCCACTGGATCCCCAGGTCAGCCAGAGACCCTGTGGTTCCCGGCCTGCTGCTGACTACCCTCTATTCTCTGGCCGAGCCATTGAATTCACCCCACCTATTGCCCCATCTGCAAAATGGGGTCACGGCTTCTACTCTAACTTCTCCATTTGGGGTTTTTAAGGCCACAGATCTTAGGATGTCAGAGCCAGAAGGGAGCCTAGAGATCTTCCCCACCACCCATCCCTGCAAATGGGGAAACTAAGGCTGGAAAAGGGAAGGTCAGGACCCTGGCCCTGGCTGCAGACCTGGACCCTCCATCAGGACTCCTCTATCCGCTCCCCTACACACACCCAGCTCCCACTCTGCACCCTGAGCCTTGGAAAACCTGAGTCACCACTGGAACAAGGACGGGGAATTTTTCTCCTCGCTTCCAGGGGCCTCTGAACCTCCCTGACCTCGGCCCCTTCAGAAGGGGGGCAGGCCCCAGCCCCCCTGCCTTCTGGGCCCCTGTCTGTCTGCCTCAAGCGGCCCTAGGGACCCACAGTCGGGGAGGAAGTGCCCCATCTGGTCTTCCCCAAGCATGGAGGGGCTGGGCAGAGTGTGAGCGAGGGGGGCTGTGTGTGGCCCAGAGCAGCCCCGCCCCTCCCCTGTCCCCACCCCAAACTCTCCTAATGAAATCAAGCTGGCCCCGCAGCCTGGGCGGGAGGAGAAGGAGGAGGCGGGCGGACAGCAGGAGGGCAGGGCCGCCAGCCCGGAGCAGTGACCGCTGGGGCACCGGCGAGGACACTCTCGCTCCACCTGGTGGGAGCCCGTCTGTGCGCAGGGGGACTGGTGAGTCCTGCGTCCCCTCTTCTGTGGGGGGAGACTGGGCGCCTCTTGGAGTTTAGGGATGGGGACTGGGTGAGCACTTTGGGGGCGTCCCTGTCTGTGAGGGAGCTCCAGGGCACGATGTGCCGAGCCTGCCCCGTGTGACCGGGAAGGGTGGGGGAAGGCGAGCGAGTCTGAGGGTCCTGGGTGCGCGCTGGGCCGGTGGGTGGCGGGTGTGCGTGGGTGGAGGCCGGGTGCCAGGGTGCTTGCTCCGGGGGAGGGTGGTGTGGACCAGGCTGTCCAGTCTGGGGGTGACGGATGCACTCATGTCGGGGAGGTGGGGGGGCAGCCGCATAAGTCCGTTGTGTCTGCGGGGTCTGGGCTCCTGCTGCTGTGTTTGTGTTTGTGTCCATGTTGTGTGTCCGCACTGTTGTTGCTCTCTGGATGTGTGTACACTCTGAGTCCCCAGGACCCCCTTCAACTCCCTAGCCTCTTCTCCAGGGTCCCCATCTCTGTCCTCAGAGCAGAGGATGCTGCCCTGGGGCAGAGGATGCAGGGCTTCAGCCCCCTCCCCCAAAGACCACTAATTGAAGCCAGGTTTCTGTGAGCTGCCCCTCCCCCTCTGGTCGCTAGGCTCTGGTGGGGGTGGGGCATCGTGTCTGACCCCTCAGCCTCAGGTCTTGGGGTACCTAGGCCTTAAGGGTGGGTTTGCATCATCTGCATATTCCTAACCTCGGTGGGGCCACCATGGTTTAAAACAACAGGCCCCCAGTGTCATGGCCTCCAAAGGCCTCCAAAGGGCTCCCAGCTGAGCTCCTGGATTATCATGTGGCGCCCACTAATGGACACCTACTATGTGTAGACCTTGCTATTTCTTGTCCAGGGAGGTGGCCCTCATCCCCACTGCGCTGCTGTGGGAACTGAGGATCCGAGAGGTAACATGCCGGGCCCCAGGACATGCAGCTGGGGAGCCACCTCCCCCTCCTGGGTCCTCTGTGCCGCCTCTCTGTTCAGGGCTCAGCCCCTGGGGACTGTGCAACCCTAGTCACCCCCCTTCCCCCCACCCCCAAACCATTTCCAGCCTCAGGGGGGAGTTTCCTCTTAGGCACAAGGTGCGGGGTGACCCCTGCTTTTAAAGACCTGTGGGTTTCTGAGTCCTGGAAAAAATTTGCACCAGCAGGCGAAGTCGACCTTCTCCCAGGAGATGGGGGCAGCCGATGGGCAGCAGGCTCATTCCAGAGCTGTCCTGGTCTCTGCTTCCAGGCTACAGAGGGGATGAGAGCAGGGAGAGGGATGGGGGGTCGTGACACGGGGTCACACAGCCAACACCTTCCAGGCCAGGCCGGCTCCCCACCTTCCCCAGGGAGCCAGGAAGGTGGTGGTGTGTGGAAAGGTCGTGAGTCAGGTTCTTGGCCTTTGAAAGCCTGCGATGGCTCGTGATCATCTGTCCTGTCTACTGACCCTGACCCCAAAGCTCCAGGGGGAAGGGAGGTGTCCTTTGTCCAATTCACTGCCGTGTGTGTGTGTGTGTGTGTGTGTGTGTGTGTGTGTGTGTGTGTGTGTCTGGTCCTGGATTCCTCGGTGGCCAGCGCTGAGAATTCCCTCAACGGGGTAAGAAGTGGCTCTTTTCCTGGAGATGGGGAGGCAATGAGCAGATTTACACATGGGTGACCCAGGGCCTGCAGTCACCTTCCCACCCCACCCCCCAGTTTACAGAAGGGAAATGTGAGGCCCAGTGGGGCGCCAGCACAGAGCTAGAGTCTGTGGAGTGAAGATTTGAATCCAGTCTAGCTGCCCCCCCATCAGCTGCCTTCAGAGTGAGGCCACGGGAATTTCACAGCCGACCCCCAGGAAAGCCCCCTGCTCTCCGGCCTCCACTGGCCAGAGTTCCCTCTGTGATGAGAAGCTTTAGCACTGCCCCGAGGGCAATTCTGGGCAGAACTGGAGGCTCAGGGCAGGGAGTGACTGGCCACACCGAGCTGTCTGCGGGAACAAGTACCAGAGGGGGTGGCTGGGAAGGAAGTTCATGGCTTGCCCCGTGTGACAGGGGATGTCACCCAGGGAGCAGGAGCCCATTCTCGGGCCAGCCCTGGGCATGAGCACGAGAGAGAGATTTGGCGTCACACTGAGGAAGGTTCGAATCCCAGCTCTGACACTTACCAGCTGTGTGTCCTTGGGCAAATCACTGTCCACCTCTCAGCCTGTATTTCCTCCTCTGTGAAGTGGACACAATGTTAGCCCCGGCCCCCAGAGCTCCTATGGGATGGACCCTCAGAGAAGGACTTTGGGGTAACCAGCTCACCTCAATCCTTCTGCCTTCATGTCCTGGAATTATCGTTTGCTTTTTGAAATCTGATCGGGTTTGTCTAAATGTAGGTCAGTACAGTCATTTCAAAAAATGACACTTAATTGAGAGGCCCTGGTCACTCATTGGCCCTGTGTTGCTCCTACCGCTTCCAAATCACCTCAGACACCTGCCAGATCAGCATTGTCACCTACTTGGCAGAGCACGGCATAGGCCTGAGGGGCGCTGGCTTCCTCCTCCAGCCCAGGAACTTGCTGTGTGGCCTCAAGTCCGCCCCTGCCATCCCTGAGCCGTCTCCCAACTCAGTCCCCTCAGAGCCGAGGGGGAGAGCCCCTCAGGAGGCATCCTGAGACTTTTCTGTCTTGGAGTTTCCAGCCCCAGCCAGTGTCCAGGATCCTGGGCTGTCCCCTGAGCCAGGCTGGGCGCTCAGCGGGCACATCAAGGGGTCCTGGGTTTGTCTGCCCGCCCAGGCCTCTCACCTGGGCTGGGAGAGTTAGTGTTTCAGAAGCTGTTTTCTCCTTCAACATGGACCACGAGGAATTTATTAATTAGTTGGGCTGTCTGGGCCAGATGAGGTCTGGGGGTTCATCTGGTTCCACTTAGTCGTGGTCCCCAGGACTCAGGCGCCAGAAGACTCCATCTCTGGTGCAGGCAGGAAGGAGGGTTTCCTCCTGCTTTGAGCCTGGAGGGAGGGTCAGCCCCAGGGCAGACCCTCTCAGTGCGTTTCTGGCATTCAGGCTGAGCTCAGTGTGGAGTTTTCCAAACCTACAAATCTTCTAGAGAAGACGATGGTCTACAGAGGGGCTGGAGCTGCTGGGAGGACTTCTAGAGGTGGGGACGACTCAGTTCCTTCAGTTTCTCACTTAGCCCCAATCTCATTTCTCCCAGACCTCAGCTCTTCTTGGCCAATAACTAACCCCCTCTGAGCCTCAGTTTCCACATCTGGAAAATGGGGATAATAGTACCTCCCCCACTGAGTGGATCTCAGGGTTCCATGTAAGAAACTAATAGATCTGACTCTTGGCAAACAGTAAAAGAGTAAGTTATTGACTCAGTCAGGATGCATTGAGTGAGCACTTGCTGTATACCAGGTCTGATGCAAATGCCTGAGGATGCCAAAATAAATGAGGTTCAGTTCCTTGCCACTTAGAACCTTAAAGTGAAGTCGGGGTCCAGGTGTGAACCCCATATATGAATGATCAGGGTCCCCTGAACAGTGGAAGGCTCAGACCCTGGGAAGGGAAGTGACTTGCTAGCATAGAAATGTTCTGTGTTCCCTGCACCTCCTCGAGGTCCCCTAGGCCCGGGTCCCTCCCTGACCTCTCTCCTGCCTCTGTTCCCCGTAGGTGCCAGGCAACATGGTTTCTGCAGTGGCGTCTGGCCTCATCGTCTCTTTGCTACTGCTCCCGAGGGCCCTGCAGTTGGCGGCCCACTCCGTGCCAATGCAGGCCGCCTTTCTGGAGGACCTGGGGGGCAGCGGGGAGGTTGAGGGCTCATCGGCTTCCTCCCCGAGCCTCCAGCCATCCCGGACCCCGGTACTTAGCCCCACATCGGTGGGGCCCCCGCCCACGCCCCTGGCGGGCCCCAAACCCCCCACCAACTTCCTGGATGGGATCGTGGACTTCTTCCGCCAGTACGTGATGCTCATCGCTGTGGTGGGCTCTCTGGCGTTCCTGCTGATGTTCATCGTCTGTGCTGCCCTCATCACGCGCCAGAAGCACAAGGCCTCGGCCTACTACCCCTCATCTTTCCCCAAGAAGAAGTATGTGGACCAGAGTGACCGGGCTGGAGGCCCCCAGGCCTTCAGCGAGGTCCCAGACAGGGCTCCCGACGGCCGGTCCGAGGAGGCCCTGGATTCCTCCCAGCAGCTCCAGGCTGACATCCTCGCGGCCACCCAGAACCTCAAGTCTCCGGCCAGAGCGGCCACAGGCAATGGCGAGGGAGCCAGGCTGGAGGGCAAGTCAGAGGAAGAGGCCAAGAGCGGCCCAGAGGTGGAGCAGGAAGCCCAGGGAGCTGGGGTGGCAGCAGAGAAAGCAGCAATGCAAGAGGACCCCTGTGCAGTGGTGGTGGAGGTGGCCGCAGGGGTCAGCGAAGTCCAAGAGGGGCCAGAGGGGACTCCTTCATTAGCCCAGGGGGCTGGGGGGGCAGACGGTCCCCCTGAAGGCCCCTGTGCTTGTAGCAGTGTCACCCCCAGCGTCTAAGTGGCTCAGGGGCTGCCCGTGCTGACTGTCAGACCCCTCGTGGTCACCCCCATGGGTGTGGAAAGGACCTTGGTCCTTCACTGTGCCCTGACACCCCTCCTCAGCTGCTCCCCTGCTGCAAATCCCAGCGTGTCCTGGTCCTTCTATGGGCAGATATGGTGCTCTCGCGTCTGGCCCAGGAACCTCACCAAGTTCCAGAAATATTTGCCCCGCAGCCCCAAAGGGCTACAGACCAACACAACTCCACGTGGAGGTGGGGATGGTGAAGGAGGGGGGGCCCCTCCCAGCCTCCATAAAATGATCCACAAAATCAGCCGCACAACTGCGAAACATGTGTCTAGTCCCCGTGACAGCGCAACCTCACGAGTTTCCATGCAGCCAGAAGACAAGAGCAGAGCAAGCAGGCCTTCGGCGGGGCGCCCGCTGGTGCCGCACGCACAGGAGAAGCAGCGGCTCTATCTCAGGACGGCTGGCGGGCCCACTCTTTGGACCCCCATCCCGGCTGATGTCTCCGTGTCTTTGGCCAGAGCGGCCACAGAAGTGGCCTGATTAATCAGGAAACTTCCAGGGACAGCCCTTTAATGAGCATTTCCCAAACTGGCTTCCCTGAGGAACTCTGTGGAAGAAAGATTTTGAGGGTCAGTGAGTTGGGGGAATAAGCCTCTCTGCTCCCCGTGCCCCCCTGAGAGAACCCCGGATTCTGACAACCCCACAGTGAAGGCTGCTGGGAATCTGGCTTTGCTTAGCCTTTCTCAAACTGCTTTGGATTGTGGAGTGCAATTTTCTAATATTTTTGCAGCTACAGCATGACAACTTACAGGGCACGATCTGGAAATATGTGCCCTAAGTGCTCCCAAGGGGGCCCCCCACTCTCTGGTCCAGGGTTAGGGTGTGGGGCGTGGGGGTCTCTCAAGTGCTGCCCAAACATCTCAGCCCAGGGGTGAATTTCTCATCCTCCCATGTGCTGGGTGGAGTCTGATTCCAGCCTTCCTTGTCAGACCCCCAGAAACTTCAGGGCTGCATGTGAGGCGCCTGACTATGAGGGGGTCTGAGGGGACAGGAGGGCTTTCCACACCCAGCCTGGAGCCGGGGGTCCCTGGCCCCCACCTCGCGCTCACACAGCAGCCTGTGTTCACAGCATTCCTTAGTGGTTGACAAGGGAGCTTGAGCTCCGTCTTGATTTGGGGAGGCTCTGAGGAGTCTCATTCCCCACCCCTCTCCCCAACCTCTGCACAGCTCTGCAGGTGCTGAGATACCCAAAGCTCACAATAAACCTTGATCAGGCTGAGTCTCGCCTGTTTTCTGAGGGAGCTGAGTCTGCTGGGAGGGGGGGAGGCATGTGGGCCAGATGCTGCAGGAGGGACATTGGCATGGGATGGCGGGAGGTGGGCAACCCGGGGAGGGGGTTAAACCAGCCCCAGACTTGGCCCACAGACCTGGTTCCTTGCGGCTCTGCTGCTTGCTGTGACCTGGAAAAGCCACCCCACTCTGATCCAGGAAATGCCAGCAGTGGGGGAGCTCCCCGTGGGGTGTCAGTCTCCTGCGCCCCCAGGAGTGGCCCAGGACTGGGTCTCCTGGATTGGGCCTCGCTCACCCTCACCGCACCCTTGGCTGGCTCCGGGGCTGGAGGCAGCCCTGGCCTTTGTCCCCTCACCCACCAGCTCCTCCTGGCCTTTGCAAGTTGCCAGGCACTGCTCCCCCTCCGCCCTGGGCTGCCAGCTGGAATCCAGATGTGGCCAAGCAGGGCGCATGTGCTGGATCCTCGGGTGTGATGGGGGCAGGGAGGCCAGACCCCTGCAGCCCCTTGCCTCTGCTGAACCCACATCCATCCGGAGAGGGCCAGGGTTTGGGTTTCATAACACACAATGGCCTCTGTCTGGCTCAGCGGGGAAGGGCCCTCCCTTGCTCCGCCCAGCCCGGCTCTGCCCAAGAACAGGGAGAGCTGAATACAAATACCCGAATGTCAATACCCGATGCTGTGCGTCTCTGACACGTCGCGCATCCTCTCTGGATGTGCCAGGTTCTCCTTCCTGAGCTCCCGTGGGGCCTCAGGGGCTGGGGAATGGCCAGGAAGGGCACTGAGCTTCCCCGTGACTGGCAAGGACCATGGAAGATGGAAGCAGAGGTTGGAGGTCCTTAGGGAGCAGACAGGGGGGAGTTTCCCAATCAGCTGTTTCCTGGTCAGTGCTTCCCCTTTAATGCTTGGCTGGTGGGCCCCCCAGAGGACATGGGGCGTGTGGGCTCAGCCATGGCTGGTCTCCCTCGGACTGGCGAGTGTGTTGGGGGAAGTTAAGAAATCAACCTATCCCTCACCTCTGAGCTTTTGCAGCTGCTCTTCCCTCTGACTAGGACTCTTCCACTCCGCTCCTTGCCTGCTAACTGCCCCTCATCCGTCAGCTTCTGGCCTAGGTGTCCCCTCCTCCCGGGACCCTTCTCCAACAGCCCTGCCCTGTCTCTTCCACAGTCCCCAGGGCCCAGTGACGACGACCCTGCTCACGGTCATCGTGAGCGGAACTGAGCAGACCTGCTGGACCCTGAGCGGACCCTGAGGGGAACTGCTGGCTGTGACTTTGGCCATCGCTGACCCATGGAGACTCTCAACCCCACCGGCGGGCACCAGGTCACACACGAGGACACGGGTCCAGAGAGGTGCAGCCCAGGCCACACAGCCAGGATTGCAGCCCAGCCCTCTGCTTTCAGTCTGAGTTCTCTGCTACACTCCACTGCTTTTCTGATGAATGAATGAGCAAATGCATGTGTGAATCCTGCGGGGGAGGGGACAGCAGGACCCCACCCACACTTAGAGCCCCTCCAGTCTGCTCCCACCCAGCGATGGCGTGCCCCGAGGCATCTTTCATGCACACACATCTGACTGGCCCAGCAGAGGGTGAGCTTTGGAGGGAGAGAGTGGTTGGGGGCTTGTGTGGGCTGCGCCAGGTGAAGGGGGTGTGAGAACCAAGCTTGAGGGGGTGGGGGAAGGGCTGCCACTCTTCCCAGGGATCCGGAGTCTGCCAGGGCCTAAACAGGCCCCCACTGTCCCAGGGCTCGTAAAAGCACAGCTGCCCCCAGCCTGGGAGTCTGTCCTGGGCCGGGCCTGCTGTGGCATAAAGGGAGAGGGGGAGGGTGGGCAAACCAGCCCGGACATGAACCCCCCGCAGCTAGTGTGGAAGGGGGGATTCTGGTGAAGAGTTTGGGGGTGTGAAGACCCCTCTTTCCCCTGTCGTGCTGGGCTCTGTTCGCCCCCACAGGCTGGGCATTCCCTGACTGGGGCTCCTGTCCAGAGCAGGAGAAACTCTCACTTGGGCGGGCGCTGTGTGGGACACAGCCCAAGCCCTCTGCCCAGGGGAGGGTGGTAGAGGCCCTGGGGTCAGACTGCCTGGGTGAATGCCAGCTCCACCCCTTTCCAGCTGTGTGGCCTTGGGCAAGTCAGCTCACCTCTCTGGGCCTCTGTTTCCATCCGGGTAAAGAGGGGGTGGTGGAGGCGAGCGGGAGGGAGGGGTAAGGAGATGTGAGCTTTGCAGTCACTGCATTTCCCAAGAGGACCCTTGGTGCATCTCCTCCGCCTCCCGCCTCCCGGGGTGTTGACAGTGGCTCCCCAGTGCTGTGGGGCCCTTCTTGGGTCTCCTTCACGGAGCCTGGGAATTATCCAGTCTTCCCTGTGGGATAACAACCCCTCGTTCCGAGGCGGCCCAGGAGCAAGTGCCAGCTCATAGGCTTTGTTTTCCAGCCATAACTATTTGACGGTCGCCCGCTATGTGCAGGGACTGGGGCACACCGTGCGTGCAACAGTGTTCGCTCGGAGGAGATGGAAATGAATCAAACAACGATCCAGCCGCAACCACGATATAATGGCATAGCTGGTGTTTGTGGATTCAGTGGGCATGTGTCCGGCGCTTGGCTTTTTATTGCTTTTCTGAAATATAGTTGATGCACAATAAAAAGCACACATTAGACTGTCCAAATTGGTGATTTTGACATCTGCATATACTCAGAAAGCCCTGGCCACAGTCAAGATAACGGACATATCTGTCATCTCCCAAAGTTTCTTTGCAACGTCGTACTGTTCCCCTCCCCCCCTCCCCAAACCGCCAGGTAAATATTGATCTGCTTTCTGTCACTATGATTCATGTTTTAGTTTCTTCAATTTCATATAAATGGAACCATACAGTGCATATTCTTTTTTGGGGGGATGAGGAGGAGAGTCTGGTTTCTTTCGCCGAGCATCAATATTTTGAGATTTGTTCACGCTATTGTATGACTCGATAGGTCCCTCCTTACTCTTGCTGAGTAGCATTCCTTTGCATGGGATGTGCCACAATCTAGTCACCTGCTGATGGCCTTTTAGGTTGTTTCTTGTTGTAGAGAATAAAGCTGCTAAGAACTGATATTATTTTACTCCTACGACTTTCTTAACGAGGTGGTTGTTAGTTCTCTCCATTTTATAGCTGAGAAAAAGGGAGACTCAGAGAGGTTAAGTAACTTGTCCGTGGTCACATAGCCAGGAATTGTGGCACAGAACCTTAAACAGGGGAATACTTGGGCTAGGTGACTTTAGGGGGGACCTCTAAAGTTCAGAGGACCTCTGAACCCTGATGTAGACAAGCTCCTCATTTTATACTTGGTCATTTGAGGACGAGATAGGCGCTGGGACCCACCCAGAGCTGGGCAGGAATACAGGTCTCTGGTGGGCAGCCTTGTGCTGTGTCCAGCTCTGCTCTGCTTCATCCTGGCTCTTCCCCTGGTGGGGGGCGGACCCGGCCTGTCTGGAATGGGACAGGGATTTGCCTTATTTTCAGGAGGTTTAATTTCGGATTCCTCTGGCTGCTCAGGAATAGCAGGAAGGATTTGGTGATGGCTCCAGGCCTGGGAGGCTTCCCCACAGCTGCTCCCTCTTGCTCAGATGGGTCCAGTGTTGGCAGTGGCAGCTGCAAAGTATAAAATAGTCTTGCTCGTAAATTCTCATTTCCCAGGGTTCCTGACACCAGAGGCCTCTCCGCTGCCCAGCAATGGCATCCCGCCGCCTGCTGGGGCCCTGCACCTGGAAGGCTGGAGGGTCCAGGTTTAGGGTGGCCACCCTTTCCCTTAGAGTTTGGGGGGCTGAACTCAGCTGGAGGGTCTGTATGGCATAGGGGCTGAGAACTGGGGAGCAAGGCAGACGGCAGTAGTGGGACATGCAGATATGGACCAAGGAGACTCAATGACCAGAGCTGTGTGACTTTGGGTAAGTCAGATTACCTCTCGAGCTTTACCTCCCCCTTGTAAACTGGGAGGGCCGGGATCAAGCCCTTGCCCTGTCCCCACTCCCCGCTCCTCCTCCGAAGGCGTCCAGGTGAGTGGAGGAGAACGCACTTCACCGAGCGCGGGGCGGTGTGCGCGCTGGTTAGGGCGCAGGCTTCCGATGACCTGGGTTGGAATCCCAGCTCTGCCATTTCCCTCTGTGTGACCTTGGGTAAGACACCTGACCTCCCTGGGCCTGAGTTTCCTCCTCTGTGAAAGGGGATAAACGGCGGCACCTGCGTGGAAGGGCTGGCTGGAGGTGCGCTCATTCACCGCAAGGGCCTGGCTGCGCAAGGAACGCGAACTTCTGTCAGCTGTAGCCTGTGAAGTGCTAGGGGGAAACGTCTGTCTCCACTGCCTGGTGGTCCGGAGAGTCGCCTCTTCTTTCCAGGTTTAGGTTCAGAATCGTGAGTTCAATTATTCTTCTGTGCTTGAAACTTGAGTCTTAAGATATTTTCTTGGAGGTCAGGGCAGCGTCCTAGAAGTGTCGGAGAAAGCAAAGCGATGCCAGTGCCAGGGAAGTCCCATAAACTCCGGGATGTGGCTGCAGAAGGGAGACAGGCTCCTGCTGCCCTTTGGGGGCCACCCCCGCCGTGCACCCCTCTGCAGGGATTTGGCGCCTGGTGGGGACCAGGGGTCACGCAGCAGCTGTTCCCTGTCTCCCTCTGGGGGTTGATGACCCCTGCAAGGGCTTAGACATTGTCTGGGTGAGCATGGCTGGAGACACGGCTAGTCACAGGGTTGGGGAGCCAGGGACTTGGGTCCATCTGGGGCAGGCGCCGGAGTTGGGGGTGTGAAGGGTGGGAGGGGTCCCAGTGGGATTAGTAGCCAGACCACCTGGACGGTCTCCCCAGCCCTCTCTGTTGTGTTCCCATCTTTGGCTGATAAGAAGCCAAACCTTTATCAGCACCCACTCTGGGAGGAAATGCCTGCAGGTGCAGGTGGGGCTGGGGGAGGCCACCAAGGGTCTGCACCCTGAAAGACTCGGGTTCAAATCCCAGTGTTGGAGTTCCACCGCCGGAGC